GGCTTCTTCAGGCGCCCGAGTCTTGACTGGGCCGTGGGCGACTCGCGTCCCTTTCCTGTCCCTCTCTCCTTTTCTGTGCCGACCCGGCGCTGAGGAACTGACCCAGCGTGGGCCTGAGCTCCGCTGCCTTCCCTCTCACAGGCTTCCTTCTCCCATCACGTCTGTCCGTCCCCATCCCCCTCCGTCGGGGTGCGGGCCCCGAGCTTTGGTGCTGCGGGTTCGCCTCTACCCTGCAAGCGCAGTTTTTTTCTTTAAGCGCTGCTGTAGCCCGGTGTTTCGCCCTGTTTCTCTCTTTATTTTCTTTCCTTCCCTTCCCGTGATCCCGAGCCGTGCTGTTGTCCTGGCCCTCTGTTGTCTGCCGGGTCTGGGCTTCGGGTCGTTTCCCTTCCCGTCCCCACGCTGCCCGCGGGCAATGCCCGTCTCCCGGTCGTGGCCGGGAGAGCGTGGTCCCGCGCAGTGCAGCCGAGGCCTCCGCCCGCGTGAAAGAGGAGGGACTGGGTCCTTTTGTGAAAGGTGCGCAGCCTCTCCTGGCTGCTAGCCTGGAAACGGGATCTTCTTCGGGCCAGTCTTCCTGAGGCCATCGGCGAGATATGGCCTTCGTTGTTAAACCTTTGAAACTCATTGATCACGCAGCTGAAGATTTTCAACAAGCTGCTGTGGTTTTGTAACCTTGTTAGGCCTGTTTCTTCGCTCTTCCCTCTGATTGCTGTATTTTTTCGTGTACGTGTATGACTGGACCCTTCCATTTTCAGTGTTTTTTATTTCCTTAGTGATGATCAGGACAAGCAGGAATTAGAAGCTGCTTGAAACAGGAATGAAACATGTGCTTTGTCCTCAGTCCATCACTATTTACTCTTTTTTAATTTTGCAGAGATTTTTTTTTTTGTTCAGTCTTTGAGAGATGCTTTAGAGGAACACCTGAGCATCCTTTTGGTGACTTTCTCTGACGAACCAGTGATAGCAGCTTTGCAGTTATATAGGATTACTGCCTGGGGAAAACAAGCAATGAAATTTTGGAAGAGCAATGTCATATTCCAATAATTATTTTTACACTAATATTGTTACCCTTTTGTAGTGTTAGTAAAAAAACCCAAAACATTCCCTAGGCTGTGAGTGCTGTACCTGGCTGTGCAGTGACTGCTGCTGGTTCCTCAGGTGAGGTAAACAAAATCTGTTCTTGTGTTGATTGCTTGGACAAAGATGGCTATATAGCTAAGCTGTTTTCAGCTAAATAAACTAATCTCTAAAGGGAAAACAGCTAAGTCTGAGAAAGTTGAGCAACAAGTATGCTTTGTTGTTTTTTTTTTAATTTTTTACTTCAATCTCTTTTACAATAAGATTGATTTTTAAAAATTATTTTCTTGTCTGTATTCCAACTGTGGTTTATTGTTAGGAAATATTTATGTTAGGTTCATCCACAGAACATTTGTGTTAGGTTCCTTGATGGATCTGTTGTTCCTCTTACAAAGCTGATCTAGCAGTGTGATTTCAGTATTTCTGCGTGCCTTCTGCCAAATGTAGAAGTGAAATAATTCATTTTGAGAGTATGTGAAGTCTGAAAAGTCTTACGTAGCGGTTTTCGTGACTGCTTCTTCTTAGTTGGCTTGTTCTTTTTTCGTGGTGGAAAATTTACCTGTTGGAAAGAGCTGCTGACCGTGTTGAGTCTTCATTTGGAAAACTTCTGTTCCTTTCTCTCTCTAACACTGGAATTTTTGAATCAATCTGGCATGTGGCAGTGTCTTGTCTACTGGTACTTTGTTTTAGAACTGAATGCAATGGCAGGTACTTCATTCATTTATAGTTTTTTTTTCTTTCTACTCATGAAGAACACTTGTAAACAATAAAATATTTGAAATAAATTATATTTCAGTCTGTAACATTTTATATTTAATTTTCACTGAAAGTGATCACAGGCATAAAATTAAGCATGTGAAACTTCAGGGCTTTAGTGTTTAGTCTGCTATTCCCGATTGCATAGAACTCTATTATGCACTGTGGTCCAGTTTGCGGTATGCAGGAGCGTGGAGAGTATGGCATAAGTTTTCAATGGGAGAAAGAACTGCAGAAACTGGAAGAAAGTTTGTAAAGAACTTTCCTGGAAATTGCCACAAATAAGAATTCTGAGTACCCTTTCAGTTCATTCCCCCCACCGCCTTCAGTTTAAATACTAAATAGTGTGATGTGCTTTTGAAAAACTAAATGCCAAGGGAGTAAGGGAGTTTTAAGTTTAGTTTAAGTCCTTTTATATTCTACCCGTGTAGATGCTTATTGTGCCAAAAGCACTTCAATGAAAGTTCTTGCAAGTAGTGATGAGGCTGCTTGTTGATCTGTATGAAGTTTTGTCTTAAAGAGATTTCTTTTTTTCTGCTTTTCTACTTATTTTGTGAAGAAAAAAAGTTCATTTGTAGATAATGATAGTTCAGTTATTTTTCTTGATTTTTCCCACAACATGATTAGGAATTTGACTTTTTTTAAAAAAACAAAAAGCATATTTTTAGTAGCATTAAGATACTGTCCATTCGTATGCTTTGCCTCTAATTTATTATTTTAACATTATAATGTTAATTAATCTGAACAAGAAATTTAGAATAATCATGGAAATAATTTTCCAATGAGATTGCATACTTTGCACTGTTAAAAAATATTTCTGAAGTGTTGGGTAGAATCAGTGTAGACTTTTTTGTTTCTTCTTGAGCTTCTTGCTTTTTTTTTTTTAAAGCAAATGTTAATCACGTATGCTTAAAGTAATTAACATCTGCTCTGTTTTTATGTCATTTTGTTTCAACTTAAGCAAGTTCTGTATTAAGACTGTGGCTGATTGAACAGAAGAAATCCCCCCCTCAAACAAGCATGATGATTTAATGCGAAGAAATTGACAGAAGAATTAGAACACAGTGGATGTGCTGGGGCTAAGTTTATGGACATTATGAAGAAAAAAAAATTTTAAGTCATGCTTTTTATCCAGTGACTTTTGGAACAAAAGTCGTAGGATTTTGTCACAATTGAATGTTCTTTGTGAGCAGGTTAGACAAATAAGGCTTTTTTATCTTTTATTGCTGTCAGATGACAGGCAACTCCCATATCCTTTCATATTTGGTGTTATTTTTAGTAACGCATTGTTAATTTGGTGCGCATTCTGTGATGCAATTTTATTAAAATGTTTCCCAGAGCAGAGAACAAGTTGGGAGTCTGAACTAACCTACACTTCAGAAGCTCTGCTTGAAACTTGGATAATTTTTTTTTTTCTTCTTCTTCTTCTAATACTTGATTTCTGTAATCTTAAAAGTTCAGTAGTTTTCTACCAATATTAGTGTGCTTTTTTGTGTAAATAGATAAAACATTTTTTATCAGAACAAAGATAGAACTCCCCATTGGTTGTCTTTCTTCATTCTAATGGGGTGCCTCTTCCTGCTCTGTGCTGAATCTTAGTGATCTCAGTCAAATAAAGCTCTTGAAATACATGATTTTGCATATGAGCCATCTTGTTGAAGGAAGTATCCATAGTTCATATGTGTGCAAGCAGCTTTTTGGTTAGCTTAACTGTGAATATCTCTTCATGAATTGTATGCCAAATACCTGATTTCATATATGTTCTAATGTTAGTTACCTAAATCTGATCAACTTTGAGATCGTTTCTATGGAAAAAAAAAAAAATGGGGGAGGAGTCTGTTTAGCCTTCGTATTCAGCCTCTCTTCTAATGGCAGTCTGCCACCTCGATGGAAGGGAAAGCACCTTGCTTTCCATACCTTTTGAAATACAAGCATGACGGTGGCCTTATGCTCAGGAGTTCTGCATTCGGTTGGAGAGTGCTGTCATCACCCTGTGGTTTCTAATGAACACTGTGGGAAATGAGACTTTTTCTGGAAGTAAATTTTTTTTTTCTTATTTTTTATTTTTTTTATTTTTAAATCAAGCTTAATAAATTCTAGATTGTTCTAGACCATGTCAGCTTGGAAGACTGCTCTTTTTGAAAACAAATTCTGTTTCCTATATTCCATATGTAATAAAGGAATGACTACAAAACCCTCCCTGAAGAGGTATGTTTTCAAGCCTCAGTGAGAAGACCAACTTGTAATTTCAAAAAGTTTATTGCTGAAGCTTCAGAGCAGTATCGTTGAGAAATGCATAAAGTTTGCTGATGCTGGTAACTTTAAAAATATACATCTTCAAGATAGCACAATTTAGGAGTTGCTTTTTATACAGTTTATTACGTATACTATCGAAATATTTATATAAGAACAGCTAATTGAGGGATCAATTTTATTTTTAGTATAGGGTGACAGTGCATAGTATGAAGCAAAAATTATTTAACTTTTCATCTGAGTTTTGGAGAAGGTTGGTAGATTCCTCTCAAAACAGTGGTTAAAGTATGATCTTGTCCTTTCTCACGAATAGGATGTCACTAAATTGACAGTTTTATCCAGCGAATATAGGCTGCTGCTAAATTTCTGTTTCTTTTTTGACTGCTTATATTTTTCTGTCCCCTTATAAAGCTAGACTTCATTTATATTTTTGAGTTTGGGCAGAAATTTTTAGAAGGATTTTTGTGAAGTTTGAGCTGTTGTTTTGCTGGCTTAATGGTATTGCTAAAGTACTTGTTGTCCTGTCCTTTTTTACACCACGAGTATTTTTTCTTAAAAAGGTCAAATGAATTTCAACTGAAATCTCTGTGTGATTAATAATTTTTATTTATTTTATTCCCATTTCACTTCCCATGCTTTGCTATAAAAAGCGTAATTCAACTTATTCAGTTCTTTTTATTTCACATTTCACTTTAAATTTTGATAGCCTTTCTGTCATACTCTGAAATGGTGAGATAAAGCATGACAGAAGTTCAGGACAGGAGGGTGGTGTAAAAGAAAGAAAATTTCCCCCCTCATGTTCTTTATCATATCCTCTCATGATAGGTGTAAACTGAAAGAATACTTAGACTTTTGCAGTTCTGCTTTGTATAGAAGTGGTTTAAATGCTTTTAAAATAGTAATTATATTGGAAAGTAGCGTTTCTTTCGGATGGTGCGAGGAAGATAGACGGTAGATATAACTTGTATCAATTATATGGTTTAAACAGTTGTATCAGCATGGATGAAATGTATTGACATGACTGACATCTTGCTCAGCTGGATCATCTAAAATTGTTGATAGTTGTTCAGTGAATGAATTTATGTGATCATGAGGTGATAGGGGAGGGAAGGAGAAGAGATATCCTTTCCATACCACTTTATTTCATGTTGTCCTTTCTGGGAATAGAGACGGTAGAAAAGATAAAAAAAAATGTTCTCTAGTGCTGTCTTTAAATGCTTCTAGCTGCACATCTTCTTATCCAGAGAATCAGTAACTGAAGCTGCACTTTAATGTACATTTTGTGTTTACCTACAACAATTTCTTTGGCTTCAAGTTCCACTTCTTGGTGAATCATTAATCTCATTTCCTGGTATATGTTTGAGGAAGCCACCACATCTTATTCTGAGGAAGCACGCTGTTACGATTGAGATTTTTTTAATTACTATTTAAGGTGGGATTTTTGATGGGGTTTTTGTTTGGGGATTTGTTGTTTGTTTGGTGGCTGGCTTTGTGGTGTGTGTGTGTTTGGTTTTTTTTTGTTTTTTTTTAAATTTTGCCCTGGGTGTTATTGACAGATGTAGCAATTGTTTTGAGAGGGAAGTCTGATCTGAAGAATACTAGGAGAGTTAGCTGACTTGTCTCTTCTGACAGGCTGTAGTGACAGCAAATCTGGATAGTTTGGCATGGTCACAGTGAGTTATCTGCCTTTAAGTTTGTAAGGGTCAAAGTAGTGACTTGGACAGTTAAGTAATAAAGCCAAAGGCATTAAAATACATACTGTTTTGTAAGATAGTTGTGGGTTGAGAAGCTGAGTTTAAGGAATGCAGTCTTATCTATGGCCTGTAAATGACTGAGGATCTTTAGAACAGAAAGATAAGAAAATGTTGAGCATCCAGAGAGAAATTTTAGTCGTTTCTCTCTTAAGCAGTATTTAATTTATGTGATAATGATGCAGGGAAGATCAGAATGTATAGATTGCTTAAAGACTAGTGCAGAATTGAGAGATTTTAATGCTTTGGATAATAGAGGTGTCTGTTTTCTCTTGTCAAAGATGATGGAAGAATGTTAACTATTTAATTTTCTTGTTTGTATTGCAGAATGAGTATGAATTGCTTATGCAGAACAATTAGGTTGGTCTGTGATATAGACTAAGATACAGCTTGCCAATTATTTCCTTATAGTAGGAAGTAGAGGAGGAAAATTCTTCAAAATCTCCCTTTGTGACTGACTCCTTGAAGCTCTGAATCTCTTTAATCCCTGCCTGTAGTTGCTGATATAAATCTTAGTAGGTACTTTTTCAGCATCATCCTTAAGTCCTTAAACTCTTGCAGGTTATTGTGATTCCCTTAGTCTCTACTTTTGGAGCACTGTAGGAGATATAACTAGGTGATCTATGTTGCATCAGAAGATGAGATGTAATTGCCTGCCAATGACAGACACAGTATGCAACTTCTAACAGGTAATCTCTCTTTAGCTGCAGTTTACATCTACACTTTCTTTGTTTGAGGAAATTTGAAATGTGTAAGAACTTGTGCTGTCACCTCTGTCACTCCAGTTTTAAAGTTGTATGTTTGTGAGTGCAGCCCCCAAAAGGGCGTAAACAGATAATTCTAAAAGGACTTGACCTACGTGGAATGATGTAACATTTGCTTTTGGCAACTTAATACAGATTCATTGTTGTAACTGATACTATTAGAAACTCTATGGGTGGTGTCGTAAGATGCTTCAGTTGAATAGATAAGGACACTAAGCTAATTTTTACATTGTATGGGAGTGATTGGGTCCTTGGTATTTTTGGCACCTCTCAACACTTCTAGATTGTGTAGTATCTACTTTTTGTTTTGTTTGGTTCAAGCTTCCAAAGTTCTTGTTCAAGAATTGATCTTCACAATGCAATATCCTCATGAAGGAGTGACTGAGGAGGGTGAATTCATTGTCTTTTTATTGAAGGGTGTTTTCTAAATCTGAACGATGTCACATTAAATGTTTTTCTATATTGCTGATCGCTTTTACTAGGGAGGGGAGTGGAAATAATCCCCAGAGAAACTAGTAATTGTTGCAGGGAAAGAAGTGTAAAGGGAAGAATTAAGGAGGCTATCAAACTTTGAAGAATACAAAAATAGAGGCGAAATGATTAAAAAGCGTGTTAGTGATTCTAAAAGGAAGTGTTTTTTTTAATAGTGACAAGTGGATTTAAAATGTAAAAATAAAAGCCTCAAATAAAATTTGGTTATATTTAAGTGCACGTACATCCTTTTATTTCAGTGAAAGTCATGTAGCTAGATTAGCAGATAGCCAGTTTAATAAGAGTAACCTGTAATGCAGACTTGATTTTATATGATCCATGTGTCACAGCCAAGCTTCACATTTGGCTTTCATTGATAAGTTTGGCAGGCCTGTCATCCCAATAGGTGACATTCTCCATGTATCTCTTGTCCTTTTTATTGAGGTAAAGGGGAAGGGAAGGGTAGTGTAGCTGTAATACTTGTTAGTAAGAAGTCTCCCAGGTTCCGTTTCTGGTGGGTTTGTTGTCTTGAAATGTGAGGACAGCATCCTTTGAAAAGAACTTCAGCCCAAAGTACTGAAGAATTTAACTGCAAAAGAAAATGCAAATCTGGACATAGAGTAAGAAATAAATGAACATTGTGAGGACAGGCGGGAGGAGAAATGATACAAATAAACATGAAATTTAACACGGGAGGGGAACTTGATATGCTGCTTTTTTTCATTAAGAATTTTGTGCATTTGTTGTGAAGTTACAGATGTATATAGCATACTACTCTGTAGGGTTTTTTTATAGCTGAGCTCCCTAGAAATGCTGTACACTGTAGAATGTTAGGAAATCCTAACCTACTCTTTGTTTGCTTGTTTTCCTAGTTTTTCTCTTGTGTGCATTACCATGCAAGAAAAAAACCCTTCTGTCTCTACTTTTATTGGATTGCTTTGAACTGTACTATTATACATCTTTTTTTTTATATGGATTAAGCTGTATGCAAGGAAAACAGGATAACAATGAGGAAGAAAAAGTAGGAAGAAAAATAATTTGTTGCATATATCTATGTGCATGTATTATGAGAGTAAGTATGTGCATAGATCGGTTTTGACTGGAAATCTTTGGCCATGCTGTTGAACTGAGAGTGTCTTAGTAATGTGTAGGAGTAGAGTTTGGGATATTCAATACTGAGAAGTGCATAGTTGTTATTTCAGGGGGGAAATCACAGTTATTGATATCAATACTTTAATATAATTGTGCTAATTAGTTTTTAGTGTATCTGTGTATCTTACAAAAAATTCTGGAAGGGGAGGAGGGTAGCTTTGAAAATATAGTAAAACACTGAGAACTCAGTAAGCTCATTGTTAGAACATAGAATACAGTTTTAAAGAATTTTTTTAAAAAAGAAAAAAAAGTTGTTTTATAAAATAGTTTCTTGCACTTTACCTGCTGGCTTTTCAATTTGATAGATAACATCTGAACTCCAGCAGAGTTTTATAATCCCCACGTGCTTAAATATACTAAATGTTCTTTTTCCATTAAGGTTAATGTTCGTGAAGAAATTGAAGAGTTTTTTCCAAGAATGTGGAAGATAAATCAAGATAAAAGAAGGCTAATGAAAAGTATTAAAGATCAGAAAATTAAAATTGAATGGGGGAAAAAATTGAACAGAAGATTGGTCAGATAGAAGCACTTGAATATTTTTTTAAGGCTATAATGAATTGTTTGAATTGGGGAAGAATACACGAAGTATGAAAAATGAAAAACTCAATGAAGAATGAAGAAAAGTAGAAAGCAAGAGTGAAGTAGAATTAAAAGAATCTGGAAGAATGAATGGGTCCTAGGTTAAGTAAATGTATGGTTTATGTTCCAGTGTCTGTATGATCAAGTTGTAGATGAATTTGCATGATTACTTAGTTAATAGAGAATTGGTGATCTGGTTCAAGCAGGGACCTATTTGAGGAAAGCATACAATATTAACAGTGGGTTAGCAAAATGAAATTTGTTTTGGAGGGTATTGCCTAACCATTTGTTTTTCAGGAGCAATCAATGTAATAGAATTACTGTACTTTAAATGTTAGGAGTTAGGCATTTATACAACCAATACCATTTTTAATACTGTCTTTTTTGTTAGGAGTCTCGCTCCCAGTCAAAATCTCCAGCTGGGAGTCCTGCTCGTGTAAAATCGGAGAGCAGGTCAGGATCTCGCAGTCCATCAAGGGCTTCCAAACCTTCTGAATCGCACTCTAGATCAAGGTCAAAATCAAGGTATGTCCAGGAAGTTATTTGTGCTAACTCAGTGTTACTGCTTATGCCTGTTCTTTTGGTAGATGGATGAGATTTCTTTTGTCCTTGTTGTAAAAATTATAAATCTTCTGGGGCTATGTTAAT